CCAGTCTGAATATTGCTTTTCATGCGCCTTTCTTTTTATCCCTTTTATAAGCAAGCCAGCTTTGAAACAACAGCAGCAAACTTCCAACTGGATTCCTAGGGTAGCTCAGTGATCAGGAGAGCTGCCAGACACGTGTACAGTCCTGTATCTCATACAGCTCAGTCTATAGCCAGGTGAATTCAGCACCAAGAGCGCTGTACTCTGCCTGCTTCTTGCCCCCAAGCTTTCAAACAAACTGGAGGATCCCATTTAAATTAGTAGTGGCACTGACAGCCTGGCTTATTTGTAGGTTTTGTGGTTTTGGAATCTCAGCAAGTTTTGGGGTATGACTGCAGGCATTGCTGGGGATGTGGCCTCGTGGCACCCCAGTTCTGGGCTCACCCTGCTGGTGGCTCTGCATCACCATCAGCCCATAGTGGTGCCACCATCACTCAGTGTCACCCAGTGGAGACATCAACCCTGGGGTTGGAGTAACAAAGTGACGGTGACCCTGGAGCTTGGATTGCTCCAACCTCATCTTCCCCAGTGGGTTTTAGGACCCAGATTTCAGTATAGAGATAGTAAGCAGATTTTTGAACAGTAATTGATGCTGTGTGGAGGCCGAAATCCTTCCCAGTCCTTCTCCAAAGCACCATACATCTTTTCTCAATGTTTGCAGCATGCTCAGCAGCAGTGCCCATACCTCTTGGGGAGGACAACATCCATGTAGGGTGCAAATAGGGCCATGTGAAGCAAGACCTGACCTTCTGAGCAAAGACATGTTGTGGGTGCCCCATCTATGATCCTAGTACTGAGCCCACCAAGCACTCAGGATGTCAGCTCTACTTTCCATCAGCAGCACAGGTCAGTATGAATAGCACCACAAATTCAACCATGGATCTGTGGGTCCTTGATGTCTTCTGTGCATCTCCACCACCAAAGACAGATTTTCTGGTGCCCAGCTCTGTGGCCCAGCTGTGGTGTTCATGGATGCAGTGAAGCAGATCACTGGTAATGGTGATGGGCTTGGATATGGAGTGTAGAGCAGCCCCTGCCTGCCAGTAGGGCAAACAGATCTGTCACTTGGACAGAGCCATCAGGAGGAAGAAAAGTTTCATTTCCAATGCTTTTTAATGGATTTTCAGGGGGTAAGGGCTCTCTCTGAAGCAGGCGAGTGATGACATCAGAGACATCTTTAAAAGGTAGAAACAGATGTTACCCACTGTTACGCCTCAGAGAAAAAGTATGGATCCCAAAGCCCCTAATGATCATTCTGGCCACTTCAGAGCCTCCAAGATGGCAATGCCATTAGTTGCACAGCAGGACGAGCATTATCTCTGCTTCCCAGTTTCCCTGGCTAAGGCATCTAAGAGCACAGGAGATGTCCCAGGCAGGTGTTCCCATCACCGATACAATAGTAGGAGGCAGTGGGTGGAGCCATCAGCTTTCCTGGTCCCGCTCTTACCAGCCCCGAGCACAGGGATGCTCTGCAGTCACAAGATCTGTTTCTCAAACCTTAAAGCATCTTGTGCTTCTGCACCTGGAAATCACAACAACGTCAAGGATGTGTTTGTTGGTACCCGCACAGGCTCCTTTGGAGCTCCCAGCATCCCAATCAGCTGGCTGCCGGTAAACGTGCTCTGCGGTTCTGTGCACTGTGTGCAGGAGCACTGTAAATATTTAAACCTATCAGAGCGAGATTTCCTAAGAACTCTAAAGAGATTGATTCCCCAAACCCTTGTGACTGCAAACGGAGGCTTCGTGCCAGCTTCCTCCCAGCCAGCGTTTTCCAGGGAGCCTGCATGCAGCTCTGTGATGTGCCAGCAGATTTGGGACTTGCTGTTCCTGCTAGAAATCCCTTTCCCCAGCAGTGCAGGAGCTGCCAGTGTACTGCTGTGTTCAGACCTGCCGTGCTCTATCTTCTTGCAGGTCTGTATCTCTGGTGCTGCTCTTCCTGCGTTCTTGTCCTTGGCAGCCTCCAACTCTGGGCAAAGCACCACAGCTCAGCCACACCTGGATGCACAGAGTCCAGCATGGAGATCCGTGGCCACGTTCATGGTAGAGTGGCTGCAGCACCCCGCATTGTGCATCAGACCCCTGTGGCTCTGCATGTGCCCATGGTGTTTCCCAAAGCTGGGTATTAACGGGAGCAAAGACAGACCATGACTGCAGGAGCTCCTTGGGCTTCCTGAGGCCATGCAGCAGGACCAGCAAGAGGGACATCCTGCAGCCCTCAGTGGCACCCCAGCCACCTCGTGCCCCGGATCACCAGCCATTGGTGGGGTACAGCATATGAGCTGCTGGTTGGGTGCCATGGGAGGGGATGGAGGGACACCGGTGACTCCCTGAGTGCTTCCCAACTGGAAGGAGCATGGCTGGGGGCTGCAGGGATCTGTGAAATGCAGGGTATGTTGACCTGGAGTGATGCTGCAGGCAGCAGCTGCTCCTGTTATGCTTGGAGATGTTTTCTCAGCTCAGCCCAGAAATGCTAAAACACGGGCTCTGCCTGTGCTTGCCTGAGGCCAAGTGAGCAAAGAATCGCACAGCACGAGGAGAAAAATATCTAGAGGAAGGTCAGAGAGCACCGTCCGTGAGCAGTGCCGGGGAGAACTGCAGCAGTGCCAGCGCCGGGGGGAGATGGGGTGGGATGAAAGGAACAACCACAGTGCTGTCAGTGCAGATTGGGGCCGGAATGATGTGCGTGAAATCCCTGAAGAGTTGATGCCAGAAAAAACAAAACCCAACAGAACGTCATACACCGAAATCGTAACAAACAAAATAGGCAAAGGGGAATGGAGAAAAGGAATAACATAGGTGGAGAGGGCAGCAAGATGGGCAGGAGATAGGCAGAGGTGAGTGGTGCAGCAAGTGGGATGGAGCAGCACTGCCCAGAGCTGAGATGGGCCGAGCACAGCTGCAAATGAAGCAGTGAAGTAGGGGCGTGAAGGAGGTTGTCTGGAGCACAGACAGCAAGCTGCAGCACAGCGCAAGCACACAGGGCTGCTGGAGCTGCAGCAGGAGAGATGAAAAGCTGACAGCCCCAGTGGCACTGTGCCCCCTGCCGTCGCTCTCCTGACCTAACCCTTACAGAGCAAACCCCACGTGCTACATTTTCCATGATAAAAACAGTAATGGAAAGGGACCCACAAGTCCCTGTAAGTCCTCTATAGCTGCGCCTGGCTCCAGCCACCCTTCCTGCAGGCACTGCAGCCCTGACAGCACGTGCTGTTCAACTGTTCTCTGCGATGAATGGAGCTGCAGCAACAATAGCCACTCTGGTACAGTTGGTGCATAAATAACATTAAAATATTGGGATTGTGGAAGGGAAATCTCTGTCATTTCTCTGCGGTACTTTTCCATCAGCGCGTTCCATGCTGGGCAGGGTGAGAGGTACGGGCAGGGATGCGGGAGCAAACCACTGCCTGTGTGGGTCATGGGTCCTCTTGTGCACAGAAAGGGGTGCTGGGGGGCACAGGGCTTCGTCAGACTGTGGGATGAAAACAAGACCCCCTGTGTGATGGTCGCTGTAGAAGTCACCTGGCTGGGCTTTGAGACAACATGCTCAAAGCCAAAGGGAAGGCTCACTCCCTGCCCATGGGGTCAGGACACCCCAAAAACCCCTGCCCCCATCCTGGTAGCTGTCACCCATTCAGGGAGAACTCCAGGTCTTGAAGTGCAACAGCTGGAAATTACAAAGCTTTTATATATGGGTATATCCTGCAAATTAGAACAGGAGAAATCCTGCTTTTAAAGAGGGTCTGACACCTCCAGGTGCTGCCTCACCTCTGTGCAAAGCAGCATCACCCCACAGTTGCACTGGGACAGGTGGGGATGAGGCTCTGGGTTGTGGTGCCAGGGCTCAGGGCTGTGCCCCAGTGGGGCTGCGAGGGGAGGGCTGCAGGCAGCCCGGTGCTGAAGGATTAGCAGCAATCTTGTTTGCAGCCAGCCTCCAGATGATACAACATAATAAGACATATAACAGCCTCTTGGAAGAAAGAAAGTTATAGTTCCCACAGCAACCGTAACTCAGCCGTGTTACACACATATATATATATTAAGGCATAAATTTAACAGCATATATTTTAATACAAAATGCTGGCAATACACATGGGGGCAAATAGCAAGGGTTGATCCATCATGTTTGGCTCTCCCCATTTTCTCCTGCTACGATCCCCCCCAGCTGCAGCCCCAGCACAGGGAGGGGGCAAAGTGACCATGGAGTGAGTACAAGCCAGGGGCAACCCAAACCCGAGGCATGGAAATACCACATGGGGCAGTGGAACATCCCGCAGGGCACTGACAAATGGCCTTGGATGTGGCAAGGATTTCTCCCACCACTCATAAGGCTGAATGCAGAATGAGATCCTTTCAACAGATTTTTTTTTTCTTCTTTCCAATTCTGGGGGAATTGTGCAACAGGGACATAATTCTCTATTACTTTTTATGAAATGGCTTAAAATCATGGCATTTTAGCTCGTTTTTCCAGACACATTCCAGACCCCAGGAGCAAAGCAGTGCTTTCCCCATGAACTGCTGATGGCTGGCAGCAATGACTGCAGACACAGGGACAGCACACGCTGTACTGATGGCACATCCCACCCCGCAAGCAGCACAGTGCTGCCAGCAGGACACGTCCTGCTCTCCTCCAGCCGCCCCAAACACATCCCAGAGACAAGCATTTGCTCTATGCTTTGCATGCCCACTGAACCCCTCTGGTCTGATAAACAGCAGCAGCATCTCTACAGGGCACTGAACCTTTCTTTCACGTGATTGTGCGCTTTCTCCCACTTTCCTGGGCAGTGGCCACATCACAGCAATGCCCCACGGCCACCTGCAAGTACCTTGATGGTGATATGCAGAAATGGCAACCACAGGTGACCAGTGAGTGGCACAGCTCACATCAGAGCCCACAAGCATTATCTTCTTCCCCTCCTGTAGGCAGGAGCTGAGGCTTTACAGGGCTGCAAGGCTCAAAGCATCAGCACCTGCTGTGGCCTAGCTGCAGCCAGTTAGGTGCTGGGTGCTGGAAGCAGCTCTGATGGGGACATCTCCTTCCCTGGGAGATGCACTAAACTGAGCTCCCTGCTCCCGGCCCAGCTATAGGGTGACTTTTCTCCATGCTGTGCTCACCTTGAGGATATGGCCCCCAGGCTTGGCCTGGCTCTGCTCATCTCACACAGGTACTGGGGCTCTGCACCCATGGAGTGCTCTGCGATATGAGATGGGGACCCTGAAGCTCTCTGTGCTCAGATCCGTCCTCTGTGCGTGCTGTTATTCTGGTGTTCCACTTGTCTGAGTCTGTGCTGCCTGATGTTAAATATGTGTGCTTTTATATATATGTATATGTACCTGCACGCTATTTACTGAGCAATCCCAGCTAATCTCTATCCATCCAGGGGTTTAGGATGCCCTTTCAGCAGGGATTTGTAGCGTTTGCTACGCTTATTTCCTGAGAATGCATTACCTGGACTTTCGGATGAATAATGTAGGTCCTTGTTCAGCAAGTTACTTACAAATGTCGAGCCTTAAACTGCTGAAGTCCATGGATCTGCTTGTGTACTTAAAGTTAGATACGGGCTTAAGTGCTACAGTAAATCAGGGCCTTATAGCCCAATCTGGCACTCCTAATAAGGTCTGCAGATATAAATAGCAGGCTGTATTGACCCAAGGGTGCGTTTGCCTTGGTCAGTGCTACATCTTGCAAGATAAATGCCAATGGTTGTGGCAACAAAGCTGAAATGTCCTCAGTGGATACAGGGACCCAGTGAACAAGCACAGGGCAAACTCAGAAGGTGCGGGTCAGAGACTTCTTACATGGTCTGATGCTGACAGAACAAGGGGAAATGGCTTTAAAGTAGAAGATTTAAGTTAGATTTTAAGATGATGCTCTTTACTCAGAGGTGAGGCTGCCCAGAGAGCTGTGATTGCCCTATCCCAGGAGGTGCCCAAGGCTGGATAGGGCCCTGGGCAGGCTGAGCTGGTGGGGAACACCCAGCCCACTGCACAAGGTTGGAAATAGATCAATTTGAATGTTTCCTCTAACCAGGTGAGTGAAGGTTTCTTCTAACACAACCATTCTGTCATTCTATGAGGATATGGCCCCTGGCTGTTGGGATACTGGCTGGGGAGATGAAATGGATATTCAGGTTAAAGATTAGGAACTTTTTTTTCTCAGGAGTGGTGATGCACTGGCACAGCTGCCCAGGCAGGTGGTGGCGTCACCATCCCTGGAGGTGTTCAAGAGCCATGGAGATGCAGCACTGAGGGACATGGCCAGTGGGCATGGTGGCGCTGGTTGGCAGTTGGACTAGATGACGTTAGTGGTCTTCTCCAGCTTTAATGACTCTGTATCCCACAGCTACCTGTGAGGAGGCATGCAATGGGGCGGTGTTGGCCTCTCAGGTAATGAGTGTAGGACATGAGGCCTCAGCCCACACCAGGAGAGCCTCAGGTTGGACATAAGGGAGAACATCTTAATGGAGAGCACAGTCAGGAGTGGGGATGGGCTGCAGAGTGGCGTGGAGTCCCCATCTCTGAGGTACTGATGTGTAAACGTGGCACTGAGGGATGTGATTTGGTGATGGGTTCAGTAGGTCTGGTTGACCCTGAAGGTCTTCCCAGCCTGGCTGATGGATGGGTTGGGCAGCAACCATCTGTTGAGACAGAACAGCTGAACAGGTGGTTCTGGGGTAAGCAATGAGGCCAGATGCACTGAGCCAACAGCTGGCAGTGGGGGGCACAGGCCTGTCCCCTCACAAGAGGCCCACAGGAGCCCCATGTCCCCAGGCTGCTGGAAGCTGCACAGAGCAGGAATTTACGCCCTGTGTTGCTCATGTCCGCCTCTTGGTGTAATCCAGAGCTAAGTGCAAATTTAGATAAAAACTCTGGTAAAAACATCACTTTTTGTTGTGGGAGGGTGAAGGATAAATTTTAACCCCAATGCTTCCAGCAGCCAAAGATGAAATGCATCTCCAGGAGAATCACTGCAGCCCAGATGGGCTTTCATCCCACTTTATCAGGTGGCTTGTCCATGCTCTTGAGGCACTTCATTAGAGCATTTAAATGAGCTGTAAAGCTAAAACTCATCTTCCTGTCAGCCCTCCGGAGCACTGCCCTGCACCCGACCATCCTCAGAGCCCAGCGCTGCAAAGCATCCTCCTGAAAGCCTCTTGTAACAGTGACTTTCTGTCTGTTGACTGAAATTACTGCCTGTGGAGAATACACGGGTGCGTTCCCCAGGATTTATGGCAGAGCTGTAGGTATGTGTCTGCCTGCTCAGCCCACAGGCTCTCTGCTTGGCTCTGGCAGAGTCTCCTTCCCCTCCATCCCTCCCAGCCCTCTCCCCACCACGACTTTGGAAGAACTCTGTGCTCCACAAACCAGCAATTTTTAACATCAAAGCACACAACATCAGAAATCTTCTGGCTCTTACAAGTCCAGAGATAAAATCTCCATCTGAAGTATTCTAAAGCAGTGTTTTAGGGTCTAAGCTCAAGTGAGTAAGGCTTGTTCAAGCATTTCTAAGCTGCTGGGGCTGAAGGAAGGGATGCAGTGGTGGGCACAGCTGGCGGTGGGCTATCCCCTCCACAGCAGCATTTTGGGGATGTTTGAACAAGGTAGAGCTGGGCTGTCAGCAAGGGTTGTCAGCACATGCTGTCCTCCCCAAACCTGCTCCCAGGAAAGCCTGCAGCTTTCACTATTTTGTAAGAAAACTGGCTTCTCACCAATGAGCAGCACTCTGTGTGTATGTATGTACAAGGGAAGGCTTCTGAGCACACCCAAGGCTGGGTATAAAATAAAGGCACGCGGTTGCCTTGCTTGCACACACACTGCATTTTCAGGGTAGGTAATTCAGGAACGTTATCCCGCTCCCAGCACAGGGAGGACTTGCAGAATTTGTGAAGTGCTCAGTGTTTTTATGAAGTGTTTCTAACCCTCTTCTCTTTGAGCAGTAAAGCTTGGCAGGGGAGCGGCTCACCTGCTCGTAAATTAGAAGGCGAATTAAAGATGTGCCATTGTATTTCTGCTCTCACCACTTCTACCTCCTGCTTTTAAGACGTCTGCGGGTGGCGATCCTTGGAGGGGGGAGAGCAGCCCCGTGTGCCTCTGTCACCCTGCGTGGGATGAACAGAGATGGGAGCTGTCAGTGTGTCAAAGCTGCTCCCAGCCCAAGCGCGGACTGATGGAGCAGGGGAGCAGGCAGCAGGGCAGGGCTGTGCCACATGTGGCTCGCAGCCTGGAATTTCCCTTGACTCTTGCTCCCAGGCTGCGAGCAGCCTGGATTTGGCAGCCTTCACCCTCCCAATGTGATCCTGGGTTTTGCTGCCCTCTGCAAAGCTCCATTAACCAGAGGCTTGATCTCATATTAACAAGGGGAAGGAGGCTGGGAAGGGAGCCGCAATTAAGGGAGGTGAAAGTTAAACATCAAGGGAAGTTTTTAATTGAACAGTAGCCCTGCAGGGAAACACAAAGGAGAATTTGGCAGTTTTGCGGACAGTGATAATGTCACACTTTTTGGAGAAAGAGGAGGGGAAAAAAAGAGAGCTGGGGTGGTCAGGAGCTTTGAAGAAGTAGGACGTGTACAAAAGGAAGGAGAGGGAGGAGAGGAATGCTGCTGCATGCTGCTGGCTCTGCATCGCGCCCACATCCTGCCATGTGCCAGGTGTGGCAGGAGCCCTGCTGTGTGCATGCAGCTCCCCAGAAGTTTGGGCTGTTTATTTCAACTCAGCAAGTTCAGGACAAAAATGCAGTTCCCTATCAGCGATAGCACAGGACTTAAACTCAGCACCCTGCTGTGTCCTTACTGAAGCAGCCCCCAGAGCTCCTCCCATTGCAAACCAGAACAAATTGGGTCGTTTGGTATTTTGCCAGTGACAGATTTTGGTGAGCTCAAACAGAGCCTGTCAGCCTCCCGGTGTTTGCTGCCTGGCCCCCAGGGCCCTTTAGCAGGATTCTCTCTTTGGAGATCAGTCCTTCCCACGAACCCAAGGCTGTCTCAGTCTGTTCTCCCACTAAGCCATCAACATTAGATTTTTCTCTTTTAGGATTTAGTTACAGGGGCGGAATTTTTGGCCCCGTGCAGCCACCTCCCAGTCTCACCCTGACACAGAGCTGGCAGGGGCTCGTTGGCACCACAGAAAGGAAAGCACCCAGAGGAGGGCAAGGCTCAGCTCAACACCTGCTCAGCTGGCCCAGGGGACACAAACCCATCAGAACTTTGCTTCTGGTGCAGGGCATCACCTGTGCTGCCACCCGAGGGAGATGTAGTTGGAATCAAGGGAGAAGACCTCTGTGTCTGACCAAAACCAACCAGTCCACTCAATTCTCCAGTTCTGGCTGGTTTATCTGATGCTTAGGAGCAATCTGAAGCTCAGGATTAGAAGAGAAATTATTCAGTGAATAATGATTCCATGATTTGGAACAAGTAACATGAACTTGGGAAACTTCAGTACTTGCTGGTTGATCCCAGGGAGAAAAGAGAGACTTCAGTGCCTGAACTGTTTGTGCTGTTGACTATGCCAGTGAAGCATGATGGAAGATAGCCAAAATTTTTGCCCTTTTTCCACCTAAGCAGTTTTCCTTTAAAATTAATGTGGATGCCAATATCAGCCCCTTTGCAGTGCTGGGTGACTCTGAGCCTAAACATTTCCTAATTTGCTGTCCTGTCCAACAGCACTGTGGATATTTTGGATCTTTGCAAGTTGTAACTGAGAGAGAAGTGAAGGGTTTTGCTCATCCAAGGTCCTATTTTTGCACTTGAGATGGTAGCCCTCCCTAAAGGACCTAAACACTCCAAGATGGGAGAGTGCTTTTACTGCGAGAGCAAAACAGAATTAAAGCAGCTGTGCAAATCGAGGCAGCAAACTGCAAAGCCCAGCAGCTGGTGGTTGAGAACGCCGAGGTGCAAAGACTGGGAGCTGAGAGCCCTGGGGACGAGGCAGGTCTACATTTGCTGAACCAAACTCACTTCACAACACTCATTTTCTGCCCTGCTGAGAGCCACAGCTCCCAGGGGAACACCTCATCTGCAGGGACTCATGTTGATGTCACTCATCCCATGGGCTGCACAGCACCCAGCGAGGCAGGCATGGGGCTGAGCCGACGCAGCGCGGCGCTCCCTCCTGCACACAGCAGCAATGGTGAAAACCCTGCTGGGACTAACACACCTTTAATTAACGGCAATTTGGTGGAAAATCCTGTAGCTTCAAAACGGCCATGTGAAGAATTGAGGCGTGCTCTCTTGCTCTGGTTTATTTTAATCGTGTGCACAGGGATTTATTGAGAAATCCTGGCGGTGTTTTTGAGCATTAGGTGGCTCTCTTCATTACAAATCCACAGGTTTATGTGCATTGGGTAATGGACTTCTGACGGAATTTGGAAACTGGAAAGAAGCCAGGGCTGGGGAGTCCTCAGGGCGTCACAGCTGGCACCCAAGGAAGACCAAAAATGGAGAGGGAAAAAGTTAATGAAAACATATATTTGTATAAACAATCAATGAAGACCGTGTTCGTGTGTTAAACAACCACCTTGAAATTGGTCTGTCTCTGAGGACTGAGCAATTGCAGACTACCTTAGCATGAATGATTTATGACATTCATGAACTTGGCAACTGCATCAGTTTTCCTAAACCTGGCAGCAAACACCACCTGCATATTAAGTGAAGATTTATGATTTATAAAACTCACCTCATTATGCAGAGGAACATGAATTGTCTTATGTGTGCAGTCTATAACTCCCGGGACAGATGAAAAGGCAGCTATGACACACAATTTATGTGCTCTGGCTGCTGAAGTTTGTAAGGGAAAAATAGGCAGAATAACTGGGTCTTTGAGTTGGATATGTTCAAAGCTGCTGAACGACGCGGTGGCTAAAATCACCTGCTTCCTTGGAAGAAAAAAAGGCTTTGCAAAGATTAATGGTGGAGGTCACGCAAATCAATGCACTAAATGATGCCCTCTCTCCAAAAAGCACAGGGAGAGGAAGCATGCAGATGCCTCCACGGAAAGCACGCACTGGGCATTGAGCTTGTTGGCTGTATTCCTCCCCGTCCTTCCTGGTGTCCTTTTATGATCTTCCTCACATCGGGATGCAGGTTGCTGGTTTCAGGGAGCAGCTCTGCCACGTTTGTTTGTGTGTTTGTAGCTCAGGGTGGAAGCCCTGTGCTATGGGGAGGGCTGAAGCAGAAAACGTGAGCTGAGCACATGATGGGGTTCAATCCTTTGGGGCACGGAGAGCACTGGAAGACTTACAGACAGGCAGAGCTGGTGGACTGGAAGTGAGTGACACAATTCAAGGAGTTCAGCTCAGATCTGAGTCTGTGTGATCTGTGTGTGCCCTTCACTGCCCCAGCTTGTGCAGACACCAAGGGCAGTGGTCCTATGTGCCAGGCAGAGGTCTTGCAGCCGTCCTCATACTCCTGGATTTGTGCCTGTGACATGTCCCCTGCCGTACAGTGGGGCAGTTGCAAGCACCTCCCCTTTGTCCTTGCTGGATCCATCTCCATCTGAATGAAGGGACCTGAGCTGAGAAATGCAGGTCAGTGAAGGCTCCAGGAGTGTTGCTGCTCTGGGGCTGCAGTGAGGCTGTCCCCACGGGGGTGGCAGGAGGAGTGGTGCTGGGAGTGCTGCTGCTAAGCAGGGACTGGGGGAGCTCCTTGAGATGGAGCTGAGGTGCTGTGGGACGCGTCCTCCTTTGGGAACGAAGGGGCTGAGAAAGGCTGGCACAGCAGCAGGAGGTGAAGGAATGAGGCTGGAGGCTGCCTGGCTATGTCCTTGATCTGCTGTTTGGGGAGAACGCAGTCACTATTTATGCTGTAAAAACCTGCATCGTATCTCTTTGAAACACATCTTGGTGCTACTGGAGAGGAGGGAGTCAGGAATGTGAATGGCTTTCTATTTTTTCCCCCTCTCATTGTCTTATTGCCAAGGTAGCAGAGAATGAGTGAATTCTCTCTTAAACACAAATCAGGAATTTTTCTCCTCCAAATGTTACCCATTTGTTTCATGCCTCCCATGGGGCTGATTTCAAAACGAAATCGTTGTAACTGTGAGCATAAAATAAATTGTAGGCTCTACCTGGCCTTGGCCATTCCAGCAGGAGTTTCCAGCACAGCCCTGCCAGCTGGGGAAGGCCCTTCCCCCCCTGCCTCACGTGCAGCCAGCCAGCACAAAGTAGAGCTGCACGAAGCTTTCTGCCTCGTAGCTTACAAAGGAGAGGATGCATGTTTAGGAAATGACAAAGGAAATAGTAAGGATGTATTAATGGAGTGATTTATGACACTTTCAGATGAAAAAAAAAAAAAAAAAGAAAACAACTGCACTGTTAGAGGATAAAGACACTGCCTGAGGACTCGCATGCTGGCTGGGGATTTTGCATCCTCTAGGTTGCATCAGGGATGGGAACTGATGGCTGGTGGATACAAAACCCAGGGAGCAGGTTAAACTGGAGTGGTAAAAGGGCAGTGGGTGACAGGCAGCAAAAGGAACTGCTGCAGGAGGGAACAGCGCGGTCACAGGAGGGTGCAACTGGCTGCCCGTGGTGCCTTGCGTTGGCCAGAGGGAGTGTGGAGCACTGTGTCTTCCCACAGCTGTTAGAAATCTAAGAATGTGGCTCTGCAAACAGCAGAGAGGGCAAAAGAACTGGAGAGGCTTGGAAGTCAGGAGGGACAGCAAAGGAGAGGGCGTAGACCCTTGGGCTCATGCTGGAAGCTGTGGGATATTTGGGAGAGATGGTGAGCCTGCCGTGGGACACTGGGCCAGAGTAGAGGACCTGGGGGGAAAAGCCCACCATGAGTCAGGCAGGGCGAGAAGTGAATCCCTGCACAGCAAAGGACAGGCTTGAGCCAGGGCAAATGGGAGGCAAAGCCTTATCAAAGTCCCCAGGGCTTCTGCTGGTGCAGTCCTATCAGCCCTCCCACCACGTCGGTGTGGCACGGCTTGGTGTGACCTTCAGAGCAGCAGGACAGACCCAGCTGTCAGCACTGCTTCGCCTCTCTGAAACTGCTCTTTGTACCTCAGCTGCTTCAGATCAGGGCAAAAAAAAAAATCTGCAGAGCACTGCATTTGGAAGTTTTCGTTTGTAACATGCTAATTGCCCTCATTATTATGGTTCCTGGAGGCACCTCATATCCTTATTACAGCAGCTGCAGTCATGCAGGGGTGAGATGTGGTTTGCTGCTCCCTCTGGTCGCTGTGTCCTTGGTTGAGTGACAGGTCTCAGCCACAAGCACTGCAAGGAGAAGGTCTGGTGAGCTGCTGGCAGGCTCGCAGGCAGCCTTTGTGTCTGTCTGCTGGTTCTGTTGCTTCTGCGTTACTTCCCGGCGTATTTTATGATGCTCCACAGGCTGCTGCCTGTTGCCAGTCCCACTGGCACCACAGGAGGAAACCAGGAAGGATGCTGTGGCGTTCAGTGCTCAGTGCTGAATGCCCACCCCAAACCTTTACACTCTTGCTGCAGTCCTCCCACGATGACGAGCTAACCAAGCATCTGGTGTAGCTCATTACTACGGCGGTGCACGTGAACTGTGAAGTACCCAAAACCAGGAGAAACACCTCCCTGCAGCTGGGAGGTCTCATTTATGCCCTTTTCTCATTGCTCCTGAGCACCGTAAGCAGCCCTTCACTAAGCACAAGAAGATAACTTCCAATTCAAACATGACCTTCTCCTCTTGTGCACTAAGCATGGTGGGGCTCTGCTTGGCCTTCTGCTGTGCCCAAACCCTGCTCAGACTCCATGTCAGGGCACAGGAAAGCAACAGAAGTGCTGCTTTCTGACAGCTGTCTCCCCAGGCTTCCCTGTACCAAGGCACCTCAAGCCATGCCTTCCTCATTCAGGGTAACTTCATGTACGAGCAGGGGAGCAGGAATCATCTTCAATCTCTGCTGACGGGAAGTAATGGATGTGGAGATGCTAACGCAGAGTCCCCATGGGCCTTGTCGTGCTGAAGGCTCCAGGCTGCCTCAGCACTGACAGACGCCTCAGACATGCTTCTTCCTTTGAGAAGGGGTGCGACCTCCCTGTGTTTCACATTTTACAGTGACATCCTTCAGACAGATGCCTGTGGAGCTGACAGACATGGCAAAGTGGCTTGAAGCTCTTTAGGAAATCAGCTACAGCCTCGCTCCACTCCTGTGAGAGCCCAACAGATGCTGGGCTGCTGATCCTGATGGAGCAGGGGTGGCTGCTCTGGTAGGATGTCTGCAGCTGTGCAGGGCTGCCCTGCTGTGGGACCAGCCCTGGCCGTGCTTCAAACCACCTCGGGTATGGCAGGAAGGCAACAAGTCAGGTCCCCATGGGCAGCTCCTTTGCACCACATCTGTGGCACTGTGCTGTGGGCAACTTGTACCTGGTCCCACTGTGGATCATCCAAGGGGAATGGCATCGTTTAGACCTTCAGAGCAGGACAATTTCCTTTTGTTTCTGACACTTCTTCAGCGACTGCCAAAATATATTTCCTTGTAGTTCTGTTGGGAGCTGTTTGAGATCTCCTGCCACCGGGCCCTGGGTGAAGCTTGTTCCCTGCAAGACTGGGAAGCATGGAGCAGCTGTGCAGAGAGCTGCACATAAGTGCGTTTGTGTTTTAATTGCAGCCCTGCCAATGCTTGGGAGCTGTCAGCGATGTGAATTAAGCTGTCATTTTCCCAGGATCACGATGCAGAGAGCAGTCTGTGAGCAGCACTACCATGGCTGTCTGCTGCCCCTGCCTGGCACGGCAGCAGCTGACATCCAATCCTGCCTGGCACAGCAGCAGGTGAAACCCATCCCTGTTTGGCACGGCAGTGGGTGACACCAGTCCCTGCATGACATGGCAATGGGTGACACCCTTCCCTGTCTGACACAGCAGTGTGTGGCACCGCTCCCTGCCTGGCATGGCAGCGTGTGAACCCCATCCCCATCCCAGCAGGTGCCTCCCCCTGCCCTGCAGCCTGGCTGGGTTGGAGGTGGCTGGCTTCAGCCTGCAGCACCATGCTTTTCCATCAGCAGGACACCTGGGGGTGATCAGCCCCTCTGAGCCCTGCAGAAGCATCCAGTGAGCTGTTAGGCCAGGCATACGCTGTCTTGTGTTAGCCATTATATTGGCGGGGGATGCTCCCTGATCTCTGCTGCCCTCCTGGGCTGCACAGACAGACGCTGGCCAGACTTCCCTGCTCTGCTCTATGGGTCAGGCATTCAATCTGGGGCTGCAGAGCCCCACCAAGCCGTGGCAGGAAGCTTCCACCTGTGAACCGAGGTGGGAATTTCTGGTAAATCAAAAAACAGAACTCCAGTGCTGTAGGACTGTATTGGTGGGACACTGCTGCGCCCTGCGGAGCACGGCCTGCAGGTGAAGCCAGCAGGAGAGGAAAGCCCACAACAGCTGGGGCTCCTCGGAAAGCTGTCATACACCAACAGCCCCCACGTCGCTCCATGCAGGGCCGAGCAGCGCGCAGCTCCCACCACACGGCTCCAGGCAGCGCCTAAGATGCCTGCACGACCGCCGCGCACGCGCACACCGCTCGGCGCGCGCAGGCGCAATCGGACCGCACAGGCACGGGGTGCCACGCGCATGCGGCTCCTCTGGGAGAACCGCGCATGCGCATCTCTACCCTGACGCAAGCTCGCTGCAATCGCCCTGCGCTTTATCCTGTCCGACCTTGAGTGCGCGGCGGCTCTCAGGACCCGAGCTGCCCGCGGTTGTGCCGGTGTGCAGTGGCCTACGTCGGCTCTTGCACCTCCGTCAGGTGGTGCCGACGGAGCTCTCTTTTTTTCTCTCAGGCTTCTGTCGGCGGCTTACGGCTTTACGCGGCCGTCGGCCCCAAAGCAGCGTCCCGAAAGCGAGCAGTGGGAGCAGGCGGTCTCGCGGGCAGCCCGCGCTGGGGGTCCTGCGGCAATCGCTCCCCCCCGCAGCCCACGTGGGGAGAGGCTTCCAGAAGAGCCGCGGCACCGCACGCCCCGTCCTTCGCCGCTCCGCCATGATCAGCGCTAGCCGTGCCGCCGCGCGTCTTCCCCTGCTGCTGCCGCGGGGCGGCCCCGGGCCCGCCGTCCCTGGGCTGGCGCAGGTCCGCGTGGGGCCTGAGGGGGCCGGGCGGGCACGGCGCGGCCTGGGCGGGGGGGGCGGGGATCTGCTGGTGGGGAGCGGGGCTGGGGGGGGTTCTGCGGCGAATTTCCGCTCGGCTCGCGTTTAAGGTT